CCACAGTGGCAACAGTGGGAGTCCAACAGTGGCAGTGGGAGCCTGGCGGCAGCAAGCACAGAGCTCCCAAGGAGCTCCGTTAAGTGTTTAAAGTGCATTTAAAATGCAGGTTCGGCATTTGCGAATATTTGAAACTGCAAATGCTGAACCCGTGAATACCGAGGGTTTCCTGTAGAAGGATTTAGTCTGCAGTGCTACTGATCCAGCACCTGTCAGCTTCTGAGGGGAGATATTATAACTATTACTGTTTCTGTGGCAGACCTTCATTTTTCTGATGAAAAATGAAATATGACTGCACCTTTCAGAAGGAATACACTCAGAACTTTTTTTAAACACAGCACATGCTACTTTGTGGTATCCCTGAAATAATCTCAGGCGTAGCATGCTGATTAGTTAGGGCATGCTATTTAACTGCTCTGTGTGGCACAACATAACAGCTGTGAGACTCAGAATATTGTTAAAGCTGTGTCATGAGCCTGATATATTTCAGTAGATCAGTCAGTATTGTATGGAAAACTGCCGCCACATTAATTGGAGAAGTAGTTGGCAGGGAAAGGAGTTAACAGCACAGGACAGAAAGTACAAGGACTTTTTTTGCTCATGTCCTTAAAGCCTCCTTTTTTTTCCCCTCTCCTTCCACTTCTCAGACATGCCTTTCCATGAATTCCGCTTGCACGCCTTTTGTACATCTGCCAGTGGGCCTTTACAGAAAAACAGAAATTTGTCAGGCTAGAACAAGAGTCAGTGATTCTTCTGTGTGGCAACTTAGGCAGGACTTAATGGTATGCATTAACAATATTTGATCTGTTTGCCAAGCTATGACAGGGCTCTGAGGCACTGGAGTCATAAAAGTATTTTTGCACTTTGTGTGTTTGCCTGCCATAGGAAGAGATCATTTTATGATTTTCTTCATGTAGATGTGAGACGTTACATTGCCAGTTTCTCCCTTTCTTATTCCTTTTCATAAACTTCAGCGGTATGGTGAATACTCTAACAGCCAATGAGGAGGTAATGAAGACAGATACACTGGATTTGATTTCTTCAGCTACCAGTAATGTACAGTGGAACCATGGTTCCAACCTGCTACTTTGTTTCAGAACTTTATTAACTAGATCCTTTATGCACAGACATCAGAATAAGTCAGCTGGATGCTTCTCACCATTTTCAAACTCAGATGGGGAAGTAATACGTTTTTGCAGTGATGTTAAGGCCTCTCTGTTTATGATAAATCAAGAAACTATTTGAAAAAATGTATATGAAAATGGTGAGGACTGGAGTACAGGGAATGGACTCTCAGTAAATCTCAGTGCCATTACAGTCCTTTCCACATAGATGAGGAAATTTGTGAGAGCCATAGAGAGACTGAAGTGGACAAAAGCTCTGATACCCGCTGTTCACCTTGAGGCTTGCCTTGTGGTAGATTGCAAAGCATCATAATATGTGTGGTGCATTTGGTTAATGTGCTTTCTTGTCATAATCCATAGATAGTGCTTTTCAGTGTGCTGTGCCTCTAATAGTTGTTGCTACTCTGATTACTTTTTCTCTGTTTAATATTTCAGCTGCTTGTTATTGGAGGATCATTTGGTCTCCGTGAGTTTGCTCAGATTCGATATGATTATCAAAAACTCCATAGGAAGGTATGTTGTGTTTTTGTTTTTCACTTCCCTCTGTATCTGTTGTACACCACAGAACTGTGAGGCCTAGAGAAATGGTAGGGTTTGGGATGTGCTCAGCATGTGTCTGATACATGGTTGGGCTTATAGGCAGCACTGTAATGCAGATGATGATGATGAAACTGTAAACTTTGAGTAGCAATGAGGTTGGAGAACATAAATACTATGAGTGATAGTTTGAATGGCTGAACAGCAACTCCTTGGATTGCCTAAGGAGTGGCAGAATAGGTTTCTAAAGAAAAAAAAAATGACTCAGCTGGAAGAATAGAGATTGTAATGACCCATTGTCTGGATTAGGAAAATAACAAATGTCTTGAAAGGTATTTTAACCAGCATGTCTTCTGACATTTTTAACATCATTTGGTGTCTTGTCCAGACAAGCCTTATCTTTATTTGGGCAAAGTCAGCCCTTTCTGTGAGGTGGTGATGCTTAGCCACAGGGGGACAGCCTGTGTTGACTATGATAAGCTAACACACTTGAATTTGATAAATCCTTTTCTTTAGACTCCATGGCCACATCCACATGAGCCTGGACATTTGTTTCCCCGGGGAATGCCTGTGCCACGCGCCTTCTGGTGTGTGGCAGGTTACCACATGTGGGGCAAGGGAGACTGGGGCCAGCACTGGGCTGGCCCTAGCAGCTTTACCTGGGGGCCTCCCAGGGCTGCAGCAGTGGTGATCCATTGGCTTGGAGCCTGGCTGGCAGCTAGAGGATGACTCCGGCTGGCCAGGCTCCGGTTTTGGATGGCGCATGGTTCCCCCATGCGCTGCTCATTTTTTTTTTGTGTGTGCAGGTTTTTTTGACCTGGGGATCTCCTGGGGTCAACCCACCACCACCTTGCACCACGGAGAACAGCTGAATGTGCAGCATGTGGTGCCACAGACATGTCAGCGGTGCCACAATACAGCACATCTGTGGCTCATGGGGGCATCCTTCTACCTTTCCTCAAGCCTTTCTTCATGTTCCTGAAGTTAAAATCTCTCAACTCAGAAGCAGCTAGCTCAGGCGTGATATACGGGACCTTTAAGCACTAATACTCTAGTTCTAATTCTGGACAGGTTGTAGTGATTGAGCATGCTCAAGTGCTATTGCCATCTTTTAATATTCAGTATCCAGTATGAGATGACCTATAAGAACCTGCACACATACTGCTGCAAGTGATGGTGGTGATTAAAAGAAAATGCACCACATAGTTAAGGTTGTCCTGAACCAGTGCCTCAGTTTAGTCCATGGAGGTATTCATTGATGCTGCTGGGTGAGATTCTGTGCTGTACTCTTGAGAGAGGTAAAAGGAGGAGTTTAAATAGCTAAAGTAGCTCCATGTTTGTGCCTTTTTCATCCTGGAATTGTTCTTGGGGCTGATGAGACTCATGCTGTAATGTAGACAAACATAGGGGCAGTCCTTTGGGATGCAGCACTGTTCAGAATCTCTACAGCATTGTGGGACATACATTTGCCCCCAGCCCCGTCCTCGGTATGCCCCCCAAGGCTTACGCAGGGTTCTTGGAAGGTGGCCTTAGAGCTGCCTTCCACATTTTCATCAAGGAATCTTTCTGGCCTGGGCTACTGGGGTCCCTCAACACCACTCTAGCCCTTTAACCAAACATAAAGGGATCATACGAAGACTGAAAAACTCACCTGTTATATTTATTTCACTCTTCATCCAGAGTTTGACATTTGGCTTATGTGTTGTGCAGGGGTCTTGTCTCTCTTCTTTCCATGAATCGCATTGAAACTTTCTAACCGCTTAACCCTGGGCTAACAGATTGCATGACTAACTGCATGTTTTGGATTGTGTTAATATATACATCATAGTGGCGTACTTAGATAGCTACCATGTGCAGGGTCCTGTATTGTCTTCCAACTCTACAAAGGCATGTAGTAACCAGCATTTTTAACATTTTCTCAATAAAACTCTAAATGAGTTGTGTGACCCATAGAACAGGAGAGTGGTATACTTGTTTGTGAACAACCCTGTTGTTCAACTAGACAGTGGTATAAGATGGCTCAAACACAAAGCTTGCACACAGAAGATTTGTTTCATGAGATCAGAGATTCTAAAAGGGGTTAACTTGCTTCAGCTGAAGTCTGTATTACTTAAGGCAGCTGCATCTTTTAGCATTTTTTCCAGTATCATTTTATGTAGAAATAGATGATAGTTAAACAGAACAATATAGTCTCTATAGAGAGCTACAAACATAGACATTGTACTGGTTATAGACTGATCAGAACAATGTACTCCAGCAGTTTTTGTTTTTATGTCCATACAAATAGCTGTAAGAAACATTTTAGCTTATAAACTAAGGTAGGGACAAGAGATGAGAATTTATTTTAAACAATAAAAAGGAAACAATCCTGGTTTAGATAGAACACAAATTCTAAGCAAAGAACGTTACATTTACATAATGCAAAACCTGTTGAAAAGCCTGATGATCTATTTCATTTGTCAGGCATTAATGTATTTTGTATTGGAGCAGAATATGCTGTTGTTTTTATAGAGCCTAGTTGTAGCACAAATCTTAATCAGAAGAACAAGGATAGGCACTCTTTTTGGTGGATGAGTGACCATCTACAAATAGAAATAAATACAATAATTAGGATTTTTGTATTTTGGAATTATAATAAATTCCACCACTTTCATATGAAGATCTCAGAACACTAGCAAAACATTTCAAATGAATTGAGTGTCCAAGTCTTTCTGTCACACTGGTCAGCATTATTTTACAGATTGGCAAATTGAAGGTTAGATCATTGAAATTATTTTTTTCAGGTTTAGGCAGGGATTGTGGAAGAGTTGGGAATACAAACCAAGGCCCCTGTTCTGCCCATCTTCAACATGAAGGTGCATGCAGCCAGGGTACACTGAATGAGATGAGAGCATTGCCTAAAAGAGGGGTGCTCAACTCCTGGCCTGTGGACCAGATCTGGCCCCCAGCAATGTCATCCAACCTGCAGAGCTCCCCACAGGTCTCTAAATTTGGTGGCAGGGGTGTACAAGCATTGTTCCCCTGCTGCCAGGTTTCTGGACCTGTGAGGAGCCCTGGGCCCTGCTCACTAGATCAGATGCCTGATCCCAGCATGCAGGGGCAGCCTGGGACTGCTAGGGCCTAATCCTGGCATATGGAGCTGAGATAGGGTAGCACCATGTCCTCCCAGCATGTGGGGTTAGGAGAGGGTGGTACTAGGCCCCAGAGTCCAATCTCAGCATGCAGAATCAGGGGGTGGCGCCAGGCCTTCCCTGTACATGGAGCTGGGAGGAGATGGGTCCCAGAGCTTGATTCCTATGCGTGGGGACAGGAGGAGGAGATTTCATAGACATTTGGGCTGGAAGGGACCCCAGAGGATCATCGAGTCCAGCCCCCTGCCCAGGGGCAGGAAGTCAGCAGGGATCATAGGATCCCAGCAAGATAAACATTCAAAAGTGTCTTGAAGGCGTTCGAAGTGGGTGCTTGAACCACCTCCTGTGGCAGTCTTCTCCAAACCTTGGCGGCTCGGACAGTGAAGAAGTTCTTCCTTATGTCCAGCCTGAAACGGTCGCAGAGGAGTTTGTGACCATTCGATCTTGTCATCCCTTGGGGTGCTCTGGTGAACAGATGTTCTCCCAGCTCTTGGTGAACACCCCTAATAAGCTTATAGGTGGCCACCAGATCACCCCTGAGCCTGTGCTTTTCCAGGCTGAAGAGTCCCATGGCTCTCAGCCTCTCTTCATAAGGTCCGTTATCCTGACCTCTGATCATGCGCGTGGCTCTCCTCTGCACCCTCTCAAGCTTCTCTACATCCTTTTTGAATTGTAGAGCCCAAAACTGGACACAGTACTCCAGCTGTGGCCTCACCAAGGCCGAGTACAATGGGAGAATGGGCCCCAGATCCTAATCCCAACATGTGGAGCCAGCCAAGGCTGCGCAGATCATGATTTTGGTGTGTGGGGCTCAATCTTCTCAGTACACTGGCCCTGTGCTACTCATTTGGCCCATGGGACCAAAAGCTTGAGCACCACTCATCTAGTAAGATCTGCAGTTTCTCTGTCCCTTTCCTTTGGGCTGAATTCAAAATGGGGAAGCTACAATCTGCTTCTTTTTGTGACCTTTAGTATTATAATGTGTTTTCTTTACAATTTGCTAATACTAATGCCCTTTGTTAGGCAACATTGAACACACATTTCTAGGGTATCTCTCTGTATTGCGTAGTAAATTTTTAATCCTAAACCATAGTACCAGGGTAGTCTTCTGACCCTGAATAGTTTTTGCCTGCTTGTTTTCTCTTATTGTGACCACAGCTGTTGAGTTAAAGGGAAAATCAGATCAGTGAGAGAGCATTTACTTATACAGTAACTTTTGGAAGGAGGAATTGTAGTAAAGCTACTGGCCTTTGAACAACGAAGAATCAGAGTAGTCACTGCTTTTTCTCATTCATGTGGCTTAATGTACAAAAGCCCTGTTAATGACATTCCCTAAGTTATTAATACCCATCTGGCTTGACAAAGAGATGGTAAAGATAACGTGATATGATTCACATTTGATAATACAAATGTATAGACATACAATACAAACTAAAATGTGGCTTGGATGGTAGGGTGAGTGGGTAGTTTTAGTTTAGTGAATGCTGACATCTTAAGAACAGATGTTATATCCATTTTGAGGAAATTCTTTGGGTTTTTGCAAGTCCATCTTTTCCTTAAAATGTTTAAAAAGGTGTTTTAGAGGGTGTTTAGTTATTTTGGCTGCTGACAGCAGTAAAAAAAACACCTCACTTTACCAGAAGAAGCAGCATGTTAGTTCAACCCAGCTCTGCAGCATCTGTATAGACTGGGGCTTCAGTGGGTTTTTTGGCGCTTTTATTTAATAGCTGAGCCTAAAAAGCTCCACTAAAGCTCTCGATCTATACAGATGTTGGGCAAACCAGGTCCAGCTAGCACAGTGTTTCTTCTGGGCATTTGCTGGGCTCCATGCAGAAGTACACCGAGTTTAAAGTAAAGCACATTTTGTTTTAGGGGTTTTTTTCCACGTCTGCAAGCAGCCTTAAATTATCTAGAACTCAAGTACTTAAATTATTCACATTCATTGAGTACATTGAAAAGTCCAGTCTATTTACCTGTTTGATGCTGGTTTGGGGGTTTTTTTTTGGTTGGTTTGTTTTTTTGGGGGTTTTTGTTTTTTTACTGAGGGCTATATTTAGAGGGCCTTAATAATGGAAACACCTTTTTTGGGGGGCCTGAATAGAAATTGAGCAAGGACCTTAGTATTTAACCTCCAGAAAAAAATCTCAGTCAGTGCAAGTCAGTTTTGCAATAAAAGCCCAAATAGCGCATTAAACAGAGCTCTGTTGGGATCCTAATTGTTTCATTTTATGAGAAGGTACATTGCAAAGGAAAATACCTTATAGAAAAAATAAATATGCTTATACAAAAATCCTGTAAAATTTAATGGGAATGAAACAAACAGCTTTGCTTAGAAAAATATTCTAAAAATTGATAGACTTGATAGACTTCTTACACATTTTTTAATGTAAGCTATAGAAATACAGGTTCCTGCTGTAGAATTCTGACAATTGGGTTTAAATAAAAAATTATAGACAAGTATTATCCTATAAAATTTCTAAAACCTTTTCCATAAGGACAGGGTTTTGAATTGAACATTATATCATCATCAGACGGATATTGTAGCCAGCCAGATCATAGCAAATACTTGCCTTTTCTGAAGATCAGACACAAGGTGTCTTTCTGGACTGTCTGATTGGCTTGTATTTCCTGCAGCGTGCAATGAGTGGGGGATGAAGTGATTAGCTGTACTGCTGGAAGTCTTCAGCTCTTGTGGGAGTGTTAGTGCTTTGAGCACATCAGCAGACTCTTCTGACCCACCGAATACCGTCTTCAACTCTGAAGGAAGTTTAATTTAGTTCTGTTTGGGTGAACGAATGATCACTGCAAAGCAAGATCACAGAGGTGGAATGGGTAAGGCTAAATAAGCGAAAACGTATAAGGCAAACCAAGATCCTGAAGGCTGTGTATGGTTGAACAGTTATCGAGAAATAAGAATCTGTAGGTTTTTATGGCAGGAAGCAAAGCACCAGAGCTACTGTCTGCAAGTATTTACCTACTGAGACATATACCCCCAAATTATTGTTACTGTACTAGCCCTTTCAGCATTTATAAAATAAGTAGTTCCTAATCTCTGCTTTGTACAGTGTGTGCAAACTAGGTGTAAAATGCTACCAGATGAGAATGATAGTGTTTAGTGTTTTAGATCTTTTATAGGTGTAAACAAATACCCAACTGACCGTGAAGGATCAAACTGCAATATTCACTTAACAAGTGTAAGCCTATTCTTTTATATGATACCCACCCTCAGTTGCCCTGCATTAAAGTGTGTGGCCTCAGTGTAGGACTCTGGAGATTAAAATCCAAATGGTGTACAGTGAATACAAATTAAGGCTTGACCTCTTCTTTCAGGACTTAATCTTTTGTGAGTATTAAAACTGCAAACCTAGAAAGATTACAAAGGGACACAACAAAAGCCTGTTCCCAGTATAGTGCAGTGACAGTGAAGTTGAGAAGGAAGCCATTAGTAAGTGAGCTTAGAGAGTAAACCCTCTTTTATACAGTGAAAGCAGATTGCTGTAATAAATTGCTGTAGGGGAATGGCAGGGATCTGAACCTACCAGCAAACCTTTGCAAACAGCAGAGTGATATTCAGCTGCCTGTGAGAGACAGCTTGTAGGCTTCTCCAGTGAATTAGTGTAGCTGTGGCCAACCAATTCTCATGTATTTTATTGTGTGTGTCTCAGTAATTGGTATCTTAAAACTCTCTCTCAGAATCATTTAATTAATATGAGGATTGCCTTTCCTAAAAGATCACAGTGCTATCCCTTATCATGAGCTGAAGAAAAGCTGGAAAATGTGGTGAATGGAGGATTGTTTTGAAGACCTTATGTTCTCTATCATTCTTCCAGAGCAAAGCAGATTAGGGGGAAAAAAAAAAGATTAAAAAAATCAAAAGGCAATACAGGGACCTAATATTTCTTATAATATAAAATCATATGATTTTTTTTATCTGAGCTTATGGGGGGGTTGGGTTTTTTTTGACACAGCTGTGATTTTTGTGTCTGTGGAGTTAGCGGTATTGCAATGTGTATATTTTAAAGTATATTTTAAGATATAACAGTATATTTTATAAAGTATATTTTAAGAAGGGCACTTTGTGACCAAACACTTGTTCAACAGATCTCTAAACTGTACATTTGGTCCAATAAAAGATATAACAAAAAGACCTCCTTTTGTCTCTAACATAGACCTGGTCAATTTTAGGGCTTCAATATGTTATAATGGGTCCCTGGTTTGACCTTTAAGCTGGTTGTTGACACACAGCCCCCATTCCCATCCCATTCCTGCCCCCTCTCTCCCCCAGCCTGGCTGAATTTCAGTAACTTTCACTGATTTCAACAACGTTTACTAGTATCTTGTTCATAAAACATTGGGTTCCTGGCCTCTGTTCTCAGCTCTGCCTCAGAGCTCTTTTATGAAATTATATAGGCAGACAAGGTTCTTTGGGTAAATGTGATATATTTTATTAAACCAACTAAATAGTTGGAAAAAAATGTTCTTTGCAAGCTTTTTTGAAATTTTATTTTATTTTTAAATTTAAAAAAAATATGTTTTTATTTTAATGTTATGAAATTAGTTAATTCTGGGAGTCTCTATTTCTCTATCTGTAAAATGGAGTTAATAATGTTCTCTGACCTCATACTGAGGATTGGAGACTATTTAAATTAATTAACATGTCTTTTTATTTGTAATGTTGCTTGTAGCCGTGTTGGTCTAAGGACATAGGCAGACAAGGTTCTTTGGGCAGATGTGATATCTTTTATTGGAGTAACTAAATAGTTGGAAAAATTGTTCTTTGCAAGCTTTTGGGCACAAACACTTTCCCTATACCTGAAAAAGGGCATTTGTGCCCAAAAGCTTGCAAAGAACAATTTTTCCAGCTGTTTAGCTAGTTTAATAAAAGATATCACATCTACGCAAAGAACTTTGTCTTTTTATTTGGAAGGCATTGTTTTAGTGCAGGGGAGGGCAAAATGCGGCCCAGGGGCCAGATGCGGCCCGCCAGGCCATTCCGGCCTGCAGGGCCCCTAAAAAAATTACAAAATTAATATTTGTCTGCCCCTGGCTGCCTGTCATGTGGCCCTTGATGGCTTGCCATAACTCAGTAAGTGGCCCTCTGCCCGAAATAATTGCCTACCCCTGTCTCAGTTCAAATTATTTAAAAGAGAAATTGCCCTAGTGATCTCCATCCAAATGGTGATTTGGGTTAGAAAGAGGAAGATCAGGAAAAAAATGTCAGCATGACACTGTCCAGTCCCTTCAACTTTGTAGATCAGGACTACAGTTTAATCT